CACTAATTGATAAAACCTTCTGAACATAAATTATTGAGCATATTTACAATAAATAAAAAAAAACAATTTCACACAATAAGTATTTGAGATAAGGATAAAAAAATATCCATGTAAAGTCTATGTATCATCTTTATTACAAATTACAAGAAAAAATGTCTAAAAGCATAATCTATTCATCGGTGACTCTAATCTATACATTCTTTTTCTTTTTACTTCCCGAGCGTAAGCAAAGGAAGTATTGTAATCGAGTCCGTTGGTCGACTCTCTACTTTTACGTTTTCTCGACCTGTCATGATCCCTAGAGGACAAAGAAGTAGGTCTCCCGTTTCCGTCTGTCTGTCCGTCTGTCTGTCCGTCTGTCCGTCTGTCTGTCCGTCTGTCCGTCTGTCTGTCCGTCTGTCTGCCGTCTCCACTTTTTATTAGACAGATAATCTCCGAAAGTACTGGACCGATTGTTGTGAAATTTTGGATTTATATCAAGAATATCATGTAGATGGTAAAACGCTAACCAAAATTTGTCTAATCATCCCCACCAATAATGTGATGACGTCACGTCAAAATTGTACATAGTAAATAGATTTTAAATTGTATGAAATAACATAGTCCTAAACATGTAGTTTATGACTTCGAATTGAGTTTTTACCCGAAACGTCCAGATTTTTGAAACAACATTTTGCAGTTTAATTTGGAATCTGCAAAACCGACTACTCTGAAATCTTGCAGATGGTTTACAGTTACGATAAGCATGATAAATTTTTGAACAAAATATATTTACTTATCCCCTCCAAAAAATTGATGACGTCAGCTCAAAATTTTGCTAAATAAATCCTATCTAAAATGTCCAAAATATGATGAGTCTGTACTTGTGATTTATCATTCCATTCATATTTTTTGGATTTATATATACAGGGTGACTCAAAAAAATTAATGAATGCGTGTATTTATGTTATTGATTTAATCAGGAATTATAGAACCGAATGCTTTGAAATCTTGCAGATGGTTTACAGTTATGATAAGCATGATAAATTTTTTATCAAAATATATTTACTTATCCCCTCCAAAAAATTGATGACGTCAGCTCAAAATTTTGTTAAATAAATCCTATCTAAAATGTACAAAATATGATGAGTCTGTACTTGTGATTTATCATTCCATTCATATTTTTTGGATTTATATATACAGGGTGACTCAAAAAAATTAATGAATGCGTGTATTTATTTTATTGATTGAATCAGAAATTATAGAAGCGAATGCTTTGAAATCTTGCAGATGGTTTACAGTTATGATAAGCATGATAAATGTTTAATCAAAATATATTTACTTATCCCCTCCAAAAAATTGATGACGCCAGCTCAAAATTTTGCCAAATAAATCCTATCTAGAATGTACAAAATATGATGAGTCTGTACTTGTGATTTATCATTCCATTCATATTTTTTGGATTTATATATACCGGGTGACTCAAAAAAATTAATGAATGCGTGTATTTATTTTATTGATTTAATCAGGAATTATAGAACCGAATGCTTTGAAATCTTGCAGATGGTTTACAGTTATGATAAGCATGATAAATTTTTAATCAAAATATATTTACTTATCCCCTCCAAAAAATTGATGACGTCAGCTCAAAATTTTGCCAAATAAATCCTATCTAAAATGTACAAAATATGATGAGTCTGTACTTGTGATTTATCATTCCGTTCATATTTTTTGGATTTGCATATACAGGGTGACTCAAAAAAATTAATGAATGGCTGAATTTATTTTATTGATTTAATCAGAAATTACAGAACCGAATGCTTTGAAATCTTGGAGATGTTTTAAAGTTATCATAAGCATGGTAAATTTTTTATCAAAATGTATTTGCTCATCCCCCCTACAAAATTGACGATGTCACCTCAAAATTTTGTTGAATAAATCCTATCTTAAATGTGCAAAGTATGATGAGTCAGTACTTGTGATTTATCACTGCGTTAATATTTTTTAGATTTGCTTATACGGGGTGCCTTAAAAAATTAATGACCGAGTTAATTTATTTTATTAATTAAATCAAGAATTACAAAACTGAATACTTTTAAATCTTGTAGACGGTTTAAAGTTATTGTAAGCATGGTAACTTTTTAATCAAAATGTATTTGTTTATCAACCCCAAAAAATTGATTACGTCTCTCCTTTTGAAAGTGTGCAAAATATGATCAGACTATACATGTAATTTATCCTTGCATTCATATTTTTTAGATTTGCTTTTACAGGGTGGGTCAAAAAAATTAATGAATCAGTCAATTTATTTTTGATCAAATAAAGAACGAGCCGTGACTTTCAGACTGAAAGCAATTTCATTAAAATGTCCCGTCACAGAACTCTAATGAGAAGAAACTATGATTGACATAGAGACACGGTTCTGAGAGCGAGGGAAGTACTGTCTAAACTCTTTAGACCAATTTTTTTGAAAATACACTAAGTTTTCGGACGGTTGCCAAACTTGCGCATTTACGAGGACATCTCTTAACAGTAAGGAAGTTTGGCACACAGGAGAACTTCGTCTTTTTCAACTGCTGCAAATTCATCTAATTTTTTTTCGAAGTGGCCAACATAATTATAAAAAGAACTTTAACAAATGTGTTATAAATTAATATTTTTACTAAAAAAACTGTATTAATAACGAGGGTGCCAAATTTCCTGAATAGTAAGAAACATTTTCAACAACACATTTAAAATGTGAACAGTTTACATAGAAAAAAGGACAGAAAATGTGTTTGTGTAGTTCTCAACAAAATTTCTATATTAACATAAATTTAAAGATGTTTTTTCAACCAATTTTTGCAAATAATTTTCACACTTTTATTTGTCACTCCACCAATTGAGAAAACTTAACGAACACTGTATAGTTTCACTGCCTCACAGAGAAGGTTGAAGACATCTCAAAAAATTTTATTTCTAGTTCACAGTTTTTGATAAAATCACCATTTACTCCAGCAGCTGACCAATACTCCTCTGGCGAATAGTCGACAGAATTTAAAGGACAAGGAATTTTTTAAAATCAAAAACTAGTGAAAAATTGAAACGTCTTCACTGCCCATTTTTCACTCAAGAGTTCTAAAGTCTTCACACAATTTCAGTTGTTGAGAGTATTCATAGTCTCAGTGGTTGATTGGCACTCCTCTGGTGAATTTTCTGATGAAGTTGATGGATACAAAATTTTCTCCACTAATTAGAAAGTTTAATTTTAAACAAGTGAACATCAATACAGTTGTTCAACAATATCGTGTCTGAAAAACTTGTACTGGAGTGGATACCAAACAATATCATTTTTGATATTGTTTCAGTCTTTACTCTCAACTCCGAAAACTCACTTAAATTTGATTATTGTAAATAAGTATTTATACGTGATTATGGCTCGATCGAGTAATATTATGGCAAAAATAATAGTTTGACTAACCACAACTTTTAAAACATGCAAATGCAATGCCTGCCATGTGAATGTGCGAAAGTTCCTTTTAATGAGTAACATGTTTCCCATGGAGGCAGCACATTGCAGATTATCGACAAGCAAGCCAGGTTCTCATATGAAATAAGAAAACGTGTGCAACGATGTCAAATTTCACGTTTATTTATGCCAAAATTCCGCTTTGATGAAAGTGGCAATTTGGCACAGGTGCGAAAGTAACCACGAAGTTACCGAATTGCCTACAATATGCATGTTTTCGATGCCAAATTGCCGCCTAGATATATATATATACATCTTACTATATTTAGGACGTCCCTCATAAAGTGCAGACATATGGCAACCGGAAGAAATATAAGAAATATATAAATTATGACTTATGTATATACCCCTTGGTATCCTGTTTGAAAATGTGGTGGTCTTAAGTCTTAAGAAAAAAAGTCTTCCGTTTTCACGTTACCATACTTGTAAACTCCTTTCACGGTACTATATCTATGGCGTCCCAAGAGTGTATAAATTTTACAAACTGTAGAGGGATGTGAACTCCAACAGTGTTGCCAAATGTATCGGACGTACCAGCATGGCGTTAAGTTAGTATCATAACTATCATATCAAATTCCGAATTTGAAATTCGAGCAGTAACACCCTGCATAGCCTTGGAATTCGGGAGTTGGCTGTTTTTTAGAAGTGCTAACTAAAAATCGCACTTCTTTTTTAATTTTGAACAGGAGCAAATAAACAAAGCTATTTTTTTAAAAGTATGCACTTTTACGAATTTTCTCTGAATTTTACTAAGGAAGTATCGTAATCGAGTTCATTGGGCGAATTGCCTTTTCATATTTTCACGACGTGTTGTAATCTCTAGAGTACGAAAAAAGTGGTCTCTCGTTTGCATCTGCCTGTCTGTCGTCTGTATCCATTTATATAAGACACGTAATCTCCGAAACTACCGGACCGATTTTTGTCAAATTTTATGTGTATATTAGGAAATTAGGAATATCATGTAGATGGTTAAATGCTAATTAAAATTTGGCTAATCATCCCAACCACCAGGTAACAAAATGTATTGTTTTCGTCTATTTTTACTCATAGCTTAAAGTTACAGACACCTGGATTTTCATTATGTGAACAGCAGGAGAATGATGTCATGAGTAAGTAGGTAGGTATAATTTGATATTTTAAAAGAATGTGAATTTTAAATGCTAATTAAAATTTGGCTAATCATCCCAACCACCAGGTAACAAAATGTATTGTTTTCGTCTATTTTTACTCATAGCTTAAAATTACAGACACCTGGATTTTCATTATGTGAACAGCAGGAGAATGATGTCATGAGTAAGTAGGTGGGTATAATTTGATATTTTAAAATAATGTGAATTCTCCATTCAACATAAAAATAATTTTTACTAATGCAATGCAAATCTTTATTAACAACTGTTAAAGTAGTTGGTATATAAAAGAATAGTTGAATCATTATTACTGCAATTTATGTCAAAGAAAATAAGAAGTAACGAATAAATATAGGTAACACAAAAATATTTAGATTACGTTAGTTTTACTTTAGTTTATTAGTATATTTGTTTTGAATGAAGACTTTAATCTTCAACCAATTCTTGTTCTGGAAAAGGTCACCATGTGTTGCAATCAACTTTTCACATTCTAATCTCTTCGGCGGTTGTTTCTTTTTGATGTGATCCTTGAAGTACGTCGTTACTACTGACTTTTGTTTCTCAGTCCATGGTACTAAAATTCTCTTCTTCGAACTGTCTGATTTCGTAGTTTGGCTGCAGCTCGGCTTATCATGATCTGCTTCGACTCGCTGTTGTTCACTTTGCTCGCAGACCTCTCCAATTCTGTTTAAGTCATAAATTCTATCCTCAATTTCTGCCTCTTCAATCATTATTTCTATACCATTGTCATTGGTATTATTAGTATCATCTAATAAGTTTTCTTCTAAATCGATGTTAATTTCGTCTAGTTTCTTTCCTTTATGTTCACCGGCAGCCCCTTTCTCCATCAACAATAATAACTTAGAAATTTTTGCAGTCTGATACAGATCATCTGGCAATCGATACGAAGATCTGTGGATTCCTAATGTATGTCCCATAAACGAAGCCAGTTGTTCCATGTCGTTCTCAGACATGTTGAATAATTGTGTCAATGTTGCTAAATGTTTCCGTAACTTAGTGCAAGTGATGGCATCTGGATTCTTTGCACCACATGCTTCCGCATATTTTTTTAAAATTTTGTATCCTATTATCGGTTGGTCAGTATTTATATTTGGAAAAAGGTAAGTGTTCTGTTTTTTGAGTATATCATTTCTATATTCCAAAGCAATTTTCATATGCTCTTGTACGTCCGTGCTGAAAAGCACCGGAACGCCTCTTCCCCTTTTGCCTCTAATAACTATTCGTTTAAAATTTTTCATCAGTGCTTTCTCGGTTTCTGATACTACTTCGGAAAACTCTTCATATGTTTTCGATTTATTGTTATTGTCACAAGTATACGCATGTAACAAAAAGCGCTGTAATTCTCCAGGCCTCCTTCTGTTTAGCAATATCACTCTGCAAAAGATGGTTTCAACCAGTTGATTGTACGCCTGGCGATTTTTTTTATCTCTCTTTAATAAAGAAATAGCAGAATTTGCTTTTTCGATAAGGTACTCTTTAAGCAGTTTTAAATCACTTGCCAGTGGGACTATGGTTATTTTGTTCCATTTTTTTGTGTTAAGATCGTTGCAAGCAGCACTAGAGATGTCGAACTTCCAATGCCCCTCAATTAACTGAATCGTAGTTCTTAGGTCTGCTTCTGCCTGTGCCGTGCTCATAATAGCGTATATGTCGCTTTTCTTTAAAGCAAATTTTAATGCTATTTCACAACATTGTTTAAGGGTGGTTCCCATATTAATCGCAAATGTTGGACTTAAATAGATTTCTTTTTCTGGGTCATATTTTGCTATTATTTTGGTAGCAGTAACTAAGTGTTCATAGTTCCTGGGATTTAATGCTTGAAACAAATTTTGTACAGAACAGTCTATTTTCTGTATTTCCATAAGAATTTTTGCAAGTTCACGCATCTTCCTTGACGCCACATTAATAAGATGTTTTTCTCGGTGAATTTTAATATACCGCGCCCCAAAGGCGCATATCAAGGTGTCTTTTTTGGCAGTTAAAGATACCTTGTCTCGTCGCATTCGGGGGAACACTCTTGTTCTTAAATCGGGATCGATTTTCAATTGTCGTGTAATTAAGTGATGTGCATCGTAAGATCTACTTCCGGAACCCGCATTTGGATTTTGAGAGCAGATTTTTCTGTGGCGCCACAAATTTTTTGCAGAATAAAATCCCAAACAATGGATACACGGTAAATACGAAGTTGAAGTATGTTTTCTAACAGGTTTTCCACTCTCATGATCTGTTAAATAATTACCTTTTTTTCTTAACAAAGAAAGTAACTCCTTTCGTTCTTTGCTTTTTGCGGGCAATGCCAAAATCTTTTGAACTTCTAATTCGCCTTTATGGTTTCGGAACACATGCCTGGCAAAATTCATTACGCTACTCTCGCAAAAATAACAGCCATTAACATTTCGCTTTCTCTTGGACTCGCCTTCAGACATACTGCAACTTAGTACCGTGTTATCCAAATTTTCAGTATATTCGTGTCGAGATACACCAGGAGAACAAGTTTCAGTAATTTTTCTAGCAACAGTGGTAGTAACTTGTTGCAATGGTATTTCCATAGATGCATCAGAGTCGCATGATTCATCAGTCGTGCTTTCAGTTCTTTTGAGATGCTAAAACAGAAAATACATGCAATTTTACCGAATCATATTTAACCATTATTTTTACTTCATCGTTTGGTTTATAATCAGCATCAGCATCAGAATCATCTACAATTGATTCTTCGTCGGAGGAGAGCGGTTTCTGTAAAGAAAAAGAATATAAAAAACATACAAATTAAAGTAAATATTTAATGCATATTCATAAAATAACACCAGTCATTTGTTCTTTACTGATTAACGAAGACTCATAAGCAAAGAAACAACATAAATAGCTTATAGTTATATATTTACCTGTTCAGAATCTTCTTCCAACAATGGTATTTTATTAGGCGTTAGTAGAACAACGGGCTGAAAATTTTTGTTACAAAACCATCGATCGTTCTTCTTTTCGGAATTTGAAGTGCAGACTTTGTACTAAAACAGAATACTAATGACTTTATCATTATATTTTTGACGGTCAAAAATTTACATAGTCCTCTGAATATGATGGTGGTAAATTCTGCGACATCTCAATTTATTGATTGGTTATCTATAAAAAATATATATAATAAATACATATTTCATATACTTAGAGCCGTTTTACACGGCACAGAATTTTGATAGTAAAGTGCGCAAGAAAGTGTGCAGACCGTTCAGAACATGTTCATTGTTTATTAGAATATGACCGTTTGGTTATGTTTTGAGCGTTTACTCACTTTCTTGCGCACTTTACTACAGAAAAAATGTGACGTGTAAAACAGCTCTTATACATATATTTTTTAAAGTAAATTGTTTTACTGACACCTGTATCTCGCTAATTTCAAAAACTTTTTTAATAATCTATATAAGACTGCAAGGAATTTTCTAAAAAGTTGTGGTGTTATTATGTAATGGAATTGAAGCTTTACTAATGTCCTTAACTTTATTTTCGTTCTGTTGTAGGTACATTTTGGATAGATGCTGCTAGAAATTGGACGTCTTTTTTTTAATATTACGAGGTACATTGCGTTTGTACGCACCTGGAAACTGCTGTTACAGGTTATTCAATACTTTGCTTTTAGGTCCAACAAAACAGGAAACTGGTCAAAAACTGCCTATTTAAAGAGCAGACAAATCATAATATCAAGCTTTTTTGTGAAATGCCTTTTTTTAAAAGCTTGCACAATTTCATTAAAGTGATTCAAACCGTTTTGTTTTCAATTAATAAAATGTCGTTTCCTAGATACACCCATGTACATCCAAAACAAAACCTCCTGAAAAAAATGGTCAAAAGTTATTTCGACAGAACTTCCCTCCCCTGAAGTGACTACAATAAAACATATTCAGCTCCTAAAAAAATTACAAAATTTAATTTTGCAAACTTTATTTTTTTTTGTGAAAACCTCCATAAATTAACATCAAAATATGTACGTAATGTTAAAGTAAATGCAAAGAAACTTATTTCAATTGAATTTTTCCTTTACAAGAATTTTATGATAATGTCAACGACAGTTTTTCAAAGTCACGTATTCGATTTACATAAGTTCAGTGTAATACTAATAATAATAGTATTGTATACTGTTTCGGGAAAATGAAGTGAGGTGTTCCTGATTCAATCAATAAAATAAATTGAGTTTTTTATTACCTTTTTTGGTCATTCTATATGAGCAATTATAGAAAATCTGAATGCAATGATAAATCACAAGTACAGACTCACCAATTCATCATAATTTGTACATTTTAAATAGTATATATATTCGGCAAAATTTTAAGAAGACGTCATCAGTTTTTTTGGGGGGGATAAAATATATACATATTTCGAAGCATTCGGTTTTACAGTTCCTGATTTAATCATTAAAATAAACTAATTCATTTATTAATTTTTTTAGTCGCCCTGCATAAGCAATTCTAAAAAATATGAACGCAATGATAGATTATAATTATAGACTCATCATATTTTGCACATTATCGTTAGGATTTATTGGGAAAAATTTTGAGATGACGTCAAAAATAAACAATATTTTGATTAAAAATTTACCATACTTAGGATAACTTTAAAATGTCTGCAAGATTTAAAAGCATTGCAGATTTGAATTTAAATTGCAAAATGTTATTATACAATTTTGTTTTTTTTTCCAAAAATCTGGATATCTTGTGTAAAAACTCAACAAGGATTCATAAATTACACGTGAGGATATTATCTTATACAATTTAAAACCCATTTACTACGTACAATATTGAGGTGACGTCATCACATTGTTGATGGGGATGAATAGACAAAGTTTGTTTAGGGTTTTAACATCTATATGATATTCATAATACACATAAAACTTGACAACTCTCGGTCCAGTAGTTTCGGAGATTATCTGTTTAACAAACATTGAGATAGACAATGGAAACGGGAAACCTATGTTTTTGTACTTTAGGGTCATGATATATCAAGAAAATATGAAAGCAGCCAGTCGCATAATGGACTCCATTACAATACTTCCTTAGCTTACGCTAGGGAACGAAAAAAATTGTATCAAGATTTTTTCATCATTTGATGAATCGGTAAAATTTACCCGAGATATATTATATTAGAGAACACGCGATAATAAAGAAATAAATAATTGTAATAATGCAAAAGTGGTCTAGTATTACTTGCAGGCGATCAGACGGTGTTCTTACACAATTTGCGAAATTAACCTAATACATAGTTTAAAAAATTATCTAGAACTATCTATAAACATTATTGTACTGTCAAATACATGTGTAAAGAGTAACAACTTGGTATAATTATTACGTACTTAATATTTACTTACCCGTTTTAAAATCACCAGTCACAACACAGCCAACACAGACAGCCGCGAAGCTCCAAACTCATTCTTCCAGTGTTGCCGCAGAAGCGGACTTTGCAGTTGCGGTAAAATGAAAATAACATATATGGCACGATATACGACGATTGCAGCGCCACGGCACGTTCGCGGAGGTACCGCAAACAATAATATACGGAATTTTCAAAATGACAACATATGACGCCCAGCTGGAACTTTGGGAAATGACAAGAGATGTCGTTAGTAACCTAATGCACGCAATTGCGATGTGAAGTCCGTATATGGGGTTCACACCGCACCCGGATGTCACATATACTGTACGTAGCCTGTTGACGGACGTCATATGTATAGCAGTTTATATATATATATACAGGGTGCTGCATCCAAGTCTGGATATAGGGAATTAACATGGGAATTGGTTTTTATTTTATAATATCTCCCCAGATCACTTTAAAGCTATTATTGAGTGATGCCTTTGTGGAGGTCGAAGAGGGCTATCGGCCAGTATTTTTTTCAAATCGTTGCATCGCGCTCATTCACTGTAAAAAGGTTTTAAAAATCGTATTTTGAAATTCGCGCCCAATCCGAATTGTCCCGAAGTGTTCCGTCGTACTGTCGAAGTTCGGCGATCGCGTCTTTTCATTACCCGTGCAAAATTCAAATGTCAAAGTGAAATTAGAAATTATTCTCATCAGAAATCAACGAACAAGTCAAACTGAATTATTTTATCCAGTGTGATGATTTATTGCAGGTCAATTTAAACGGAATAAATGCACAAACTGCACAAAATATTTTATTAGGTTATGCTATGTTCTACTGCGATTAGATGAAAAAGCGGGGGCCTGCATTTTCTTCAAAGGTTAATTTAATTAGTAGGTAATTTGGCTAATTTCACTATTTTTCTTGGAGTCACTAAAGATTGGAAGTCAATTGATTTTACATTCGTTAAGCAGGGATGGATTTTTTGCCTCCAGGAAGCATCTTCATTACAGGAAAATTTTGAGAGAGAAATGTAGAACATTGACTCATCAACATTTTAAAGTATTTTTCTCTATTACGAATGTGTTTTGGGATTCAGAAACTTTTGTATTACTGTTTTATTTGTTTATTGTGTTAACAACAAAAATAAAAATAATATTTCGCAAAATAAAGTTACATTTATTTTCAAAGGTGATAAAAATTACATAAAATCAGGTGGGCACGACGTTTTCTAGGGATCTTAAACAGATGAGATAGAAGAATTTCAAAAAGCATCATGACAAAAAATTGAAGCCTGAGGACTACTTCTCACGTAGGGAGTTTTACGAGGGAATGCTTAAAAGAATCCAGGCTGATGGAGAGTTTTTGAGGAACATTTGTTTTACTGACGAATGTTCATTTGGTCTTAACGGAAGTTATAATCGTCAGAACGATCAAATTTGAGCATTACACAACCCTCACGTGGTCCATGACCTTCGTTATCAATGGCGTGCAATTGTCAGTGTATGAATGGGGCTTCTAGGACATCATGTCATTGCACCTTTTTTCATCGAATCCGGATTGAATGCTCAGAAGTAGGATAATATGCTAGCTCAGCAAATACTTCCTGGGACTCGAAGGGTGCGGCATCTGCAGCAGGTCTTTTACATCCAGGACCAAATCTCCAGCCATACAGCTCGCATAAATGTTGTTTATTTGAACCAGTATTTTTCCGCAATGTTGGAATGGAAAGTTTGCACCGCCGCATTGGCCTGTGCAATCGCCGGATCTAAGCCCCTGAGAATTTTTTCTTTGGAGATTTCTTCACGACCATCTGCATTCAGACAAGCTATACAAACAGAGAAGCGCTGAAACAAGCAATCCAGCAATATTGTCTTCAGATTTCAACTAAAATGCTGATCAACACGCGTAGGAGTTTTGAAGATTGGCTTAAGTACTTACTGTACAGCTGCTGAGAGCAGTATTTTTGAGCAATTCTTGAAAATAGTGCAATACTTCTCCAGATTCGTACAATATTTCATTACTTCATTCATCAACAATTGTTAAGTTTTGTTATTTGTAGTCATCTAAATGGTTCATTAAAAGGTCCTCTTCAAAAGCGCCAGCTGTTTTGATGGTAAATCTTATCATCACACAATAAGAAAAGCGGGCCCTCGCTTTTTCATCTAATCGCAGTAGAACAACATTTTAATGAGATTTTAGTAATAAAGACTCGATCAGCACCAGCAACATAACCTAATAAAATATTTTGTACAGTTTGTGCATTTATTTCGTTTAAATTGACCTACAATAATCGTCATATTGGATAAAATAATTCAATTTGAGTCGTTCAGTGATTACTCAGTGAGGGAGCCCGAGTACATTCCTAGCTTGAGGGCTCCCAGAAAATGTCACAATGCTGCCGATGGACTTTGATGGGGTTTTGAGGAAGACCAGCTGCTCGAAGTCTTCATCTTGGGCTTTTTGGATACGGTCTGATTGTAGTTCGAGATGGCTCGTTTGACAGGGTCGCGCACTATGACGAATGAATGGATTAATTTGTGCATTTATTCCGGTTAATTTGTCCTACAATAATATAATCATCACACTGGATAAAATAATTCAGTTTGACTTGTTCTTTGATTTCTGATGAGAATAATTTCTAATTTCACTTTGACATTTGGATTTTGCATGGTTAATAATTAATGGCAAGACGCGATCGCCGAACTTCGACAGTACGACGGAACACTTCGCGACAATTCGGATCGGGCGCGAA